TTTATATTTATTAATTAGTTATTCTTAATTTGTATTTTATAAATTATCTTATAAGTTAGCAATATCTTTAACTAGTATTATTAGAATTAGAATAGTCTTGTGATCATAACAAGCTATAATTTGTAAGAATTAGATTAGTAGTTATAGAATTATTAGCATTTAGAAATCTCAATTGATGTTTAACTATACTTAATTATACTTGAAGATGTTTGATGATGTTTGATAACATTTGATGATATTTGAAGATATTTGAAGATGTTTAACTATATTTGAAGATATTTAACTATGTTTGAGGATATTTAGGAAAAAGATATAAAAACCTTGTTTTTTTACCTTCTATTAAAGTTTGGTTTGTTCTCTACAATCTTCTTAATATTAGAATTCTCTTAGCACAGACACTAATAGATAATCTTGTATTATTGATATTATATCATAAATAAAGAATACTCTTTGCTTTAATATATTCTTTTAATAAATCACCTTTGTAAAATAATATCCTGCTTTGATACTGTTGAGAGTTTCTTTTCCATGTCTTATATTACTTGTGATATACTAAGAAAGCTATACCACTTGTAATAATATAATAATAACAGTAGTGATTATCTATATGTGACCTTGTATCTGAAATTAATAAAATACTTCTAGCAAAGTAAACCTCCTTTAAACAGAAAAAAAAAAATAGTATTTACTCTTTAATTTTCTAAACAAATTTGTCTAAAATATAGTCTAAAAAATATATTTTGTATTTTAAAAAAATAATTAAAACTAAATAAATATAAAAATTTTGAAATTAGTAAAGTTATAAAAAAAGAAAACAAGTATTTTGTAACTGAGCACTGGTGAATCAATGCAAATGAGAGTGAAAGAAATATACTAGCCAGAAAGTATAAAGGCTGTAAATACAGAAGACATAATGATACAAGCTATATAACAAAGCAAAAGCTGAAGACATGATACCAAGTTTTAGAAAAGGTAGTATGTAAAGGAAATATACTATCAATTGAAATATTTCTGTTAGTCTATATAGTAGACAAGAAGCTCTAGTATGAGAAAAAAGAGAAACAGAAAGAAGAAGTAGAAATAAGAGTAGCTAGCATAGAAGAAGCAGTGATCTAAAAGGTAATTAGTAACAAAAAGATATAAAACAAGTTAATTGATATTATGAAAAAGTTAAAAGAGAAAAAAGAGCTAAATATTTATATAGATAAGTCAAAAGTAACAGAGTATGAAGGAAATAAAGAAGGGAAAAAGATGAGTATAGGTTGAGTTATAGTAAATAAGAATAGTAATAGAAATAGTATTAGCTTCAATAGTAGAATAGCTAACTGGCCCTTCTCAACTTGAGCAGAACTAGGTGTGATCTGAACAGCCTTGCTAGTAGCTTCTACTAGTACAAAAGTAAGATTATACTCTGATAGCAATGTAGTAATAGAAGGAATACAAAGTTTCTAAAGCTGAATGAATATTAGAAGCATATTTAAAACCAAGAATTGTAGTCTAATTAACTAAATAATAGATTGCTATAGAACTAAAAATATCAAGCTAGAACTGATTAAAATTAAAGACTACAGTATAAACTACTAGAATGACAAAGCTGATGTATTAGCAAAAGAAGACCTCTTATCTAGTCTAATACTAGAAGTACAGGATACCATAGCAGGTAGTATAAGAATAGCACTAACTTAGAAAAACAAGCTGATAGATAGCTCACTCAGATCTTTCATCAACATAATTACAATAATATTATATAAATGTAAATAGGCAGATCTAAATAATATTAGGCTAATACTAGATCAAAGATCAAATGAACAAAGTAATGAAGAGCTAAACTAGAGAAATACATAGAGCTTGCTAAAGAAGCTTCAAAGAAAGAGATATACTAGTATCAAAAAAAGCAAAGCTCTGATCTTTAGAATAAAGTATCTTAACAAGTTATTACCAACTAAAGACCTTTGTTTTTAAAGAAACCTGAGCCTATATAAGAGTAAAACTTGTATAGCATGCTTTGCAAAAGAAGAATTATTAGAATATATTGTGAAATACCAGATATGGGGTGGAGTCAATAGAAAAGGGACAAATCATTTTTAGTAAAATTTTTTTTATTTTTAAATTAAAATATCCTAATAATTATCTTATCAAATTTAATAAATTTTTTTTTATTCTAAATCTATAACTTATTAAAATTAAAATAAAAAAATTTTTATAGAATTTGCTTTAGTAGTTGTTGAAATATTTTATTCTAAACTTGAGAAAATATTTACTTAGAAAAAATTTGTCCCTTTTCTATTGACTTCACCCCATATATCAAGGAATTTGGAAAAAGATTAAAAGATTAATTATAAAAGAGCTGAGTACAAAAATTGATAACAGATAGAATATAGCTATCTTAGAGCAAACTTTAAAAGAAGTATTTTAGAACAGAATATAGCTGAGATACTCAGTAGAAGAAAGTTACATATTTGAAGTCTAATAAGTAACTAGCTCATAACAAATATTAAAGAAATTTTAGGATTTGTTTCCAAAACTAACAAAGCAATAAGCTAGTTTTCTGAACTATTCTGATCTAATTTCTTCAAAAGACTATAAAAATTTTGTTGTAAAGTTATGCTAGAATGAGAAGAAAGGAATAATATCAAGTTTAAAAAAAAAAGAAAGCAAAATAGAAGTATAATAAACTTGAGAAAGAAAATATAGCAAATAAAGAAAACCAGAACCTAAGCAGAAACAACTATGAAGAATCAAGTAAAGGCAAGAAAAAAAGAATCTAAAACTTAGCTAAAGCTAAAGTAAAAACATAGATTGAAAAAAGTTTAAAGGAAAGCTAGTTGAGTTTTAAAAATAACTGAAGAATCTTGAATAGATGTAGAGAAGCCTTCTATAGATTACTAGAGTATAACTTTGCTTAAGCAAACTGCTCTAGTAGAAAAAAATCATTTTTGTAACTGATCATACTTAGATACTTAGAGTAGCTAAGTAAGTTTGAAATTAGAAAAAAAGGGCAGTTATATAGCTAATATAAATTAGTTTTATTTTTGTTATAATATTATGTATATTTTCTCTTAATAAATGAAAGGCAAGATTACCTAGGTTTAAAAAATAAATAAATATAAAAATATAAGCAAATTTGCTTATATTATTCTACAAATTAAAAGATAATATTATTATAAATAAAAATTAATTTTATTTTTTGTTTTATTTTAAAAATTATATATAAACTATTTCTATAAGTTTTTTTTAAACAATTGTATATTTAACAATATTAATATTTAATTTTAATACAAAAAAATTTAATAATTTTTTAATTTTATATATTATATATTATAATAATTTAATAGTAAAATAATTCTTAATTAATAATATTTAATAATAAAATATTATATATTATTATACTTTATAGAAAAGAAATATAAATAACAAAAATACAATTAGGATAGTGATATATATTACGTAATATTATTTTACTATAAAGCTACTCTTTCTTCTCTCACATTATATAAATTTATAAATAATTAATTTTATATAATTAAATATCATAATATTTCTCTAAAACCCCTTTCCCCCAAGATATTACGTAATAAATGTTACTGCCCTTAGTAATACTCTTATTTGCATGACTAAAGTACCCGGAGTGACAAATAATATAGATCAATATTATTTATATATGACATGTGATACAAACTGGTGTGCAATGCACGTGATATTTAATTTTTCACTTTGTAAAAATCGCACCACACCGGGTACTTTGGTCAGAGCACTACGGTATTTTAAATTGAAGATTATTATTAGATCACAAAATAATTTATAACAATATAAATTTATGCAATTATAAAATTTCCTATACATCTATTATTTAATTGCAAATTGTATTTACACAGAATACTAAGAATTACTTCAAGTGATCAATTTAATATTAATTAAAAGCAAAAGTTTAAGCACCTTAAATTCATCGGAGCTAACGTTATATAATTGTGTTGAAACACATGAATCCTTTTAACTCCGATAAATTTAGAGTGTTTAAAACTTTTGGAGAGAAATGTATTTTAATACGAATTGGATTACCAATTATATAAAACTCCGTGCAGGCAAGATTATTTATTTATCATGTATAATATCATTATATAAATTGAAAACATTTATTATTTTGCGTGACTAATTTTTCCGATGGCTTGAAATAGAGTGGAAAAATAGTGTCTACTCTCATTAGGCTAAAAAATAATCTCTTTGATAAATTCTGAATTAGGAATACATTTTAATTATTTAAAAAGTAACACAAAAAATGGGATCTGGACAACCATTGATTATACGTGTAAACTCACATTTTTATCTTTTTTTCGTTCCACGTCGATCTCCCAATACCTATTACTGTGCTACGTTGTATTTCAAAATCTATGAAGACTCTCGCAGCTTAGTAATCTCTCTCACTCAATGGAATCCTTAATGAAAGGTGTGAAAAATGGTCACGAGGGTCTGAAAAATAGTAATTCAAAGTGTTATTTCACAGATTAGTTCATTTTTTTTTTTTTTTGCTAATATATATAATTCAAAATTGTCACTCCGGGAATAAATGCTTGCATTGACTAATGTCGCGTGGTTAATTAATTTATTGATGCCAATTATAACAAAGAGGAATGGAAAATAAAGAAAGGTTCATTGCTTTTAATTAATTATGGCCGCAGACCCAAGAGCATTAACAAAATAGGAAATAATTATATGGTATCACTAAATTTGACACTTTTTTCTTCCCGAAAATGACATATCGATTCTTTTGAATTCATACAATGACAAAATCGTGTCAAATGATTTCATTTTGTTTTCTTTAAAGCTTGTGTCAGGCTTTAGAGAACCATGAGTAACATGAGAGAAGATTCTTTTTCATTTATCGATGACGGACTTCTCCACGGAGCTGACATTCAGTCTTTTAAATAAAAGGGCGACAATTCTAACTTTTCTAACTTAAGCTCACCAACAATCTGAGAAAAATTTTTAATGAAATTATTATAATGCCTAGAAGAAAAACCCCGAATAGTTTCATTATTTATAGAAAGGAGAAACAGAAATGGCTGAGAGAAAATTACCCCGGTATTTCACAACGAGCGTTGTCGAAAAAGATTTCTCAGATGTGGGCTTACGAGTCCCCACATATTCGGGGACGATACGAAAGCATGTCTCTTATGCTTTCGATAAATAATATCGATCGTCACAACCCAATAAATCGCCAATATGTGGGTCCTACCAATTACGAAAATGGAACTACCCATTTTTTCGTCATAGAAAATGTAGTTCAACCGAATCCATCTGTCGTTAACGAAGTTACAGATGATGACGATTATGAAAAATTCCTTGATAGTATTATAAATTTTGATCCATAATCGCAATTTCCTTACATCACAAACTCAAAACACTCAAAAATTTAAGAATATATAATATGGGTTAAAGGATTTGATAAAAATTAAACTTTATGCTACAGTACTGGATGATTTTAAGTTTATATGTATACGTATTACGTATTAAATTTCTTTATATCGATATTTGGAAATTAAAGAAATCGACTAACGCTAATAAATAATAAAAATTTTCAATTTTTTTATATTTTAAACGAGATAATAACCACCTAACAAAATTTTTTTACTTGAAATTCTATATATGTGAAATTAAATATTAAAAATTGTCAAAATTGAAAAAAAGAAGTTAAAAAAATAAATAAATAAATAAAAAATTAAGAGTTAGGCATACTAAGTAAATTTCTTAATTTCTTGGTTTTCTTAACATGAAATTTAAAATAGACCAGGCTATTTGGTTTTTTTTTTTTTTTTTTTTTTTTTTTTTTTTTTTTTTTTTTTTTTTTTTTTTTTTGTTTTTTTTTTTTTTTTTTTT